CAACATGTGAAAAGAAAAAAAAAGGCAAGAGAAAAACATTGCTTAACAAACCTTAAGTCTTAATAAAGAAATTTATATATTGTATATGAAAGCATTGTAATGTTTACTGATAGTCTGCCACATTTTGTTAACATATGCCTACTAATTTAAAAGTTATAGCATGAAAACTGTAACAAACACAAAATAGTTACGAGGTCGGTCTCAGTGACCGAGACTATACTGAAAGAGTTAAAGAAACATCAGTATTACATTAGGTGGCCCCTAGTGGCACAGCGGTATGTCTGTGGACTGACAATGCTAGAAACCGGGTTTCGATACCCGTGGTGGGCAGAGCACAGATAGCCTATTTTGTAGCTTTGTGCATAACTTCAAACAAACAAACAAACAAATACATTAGGTGATTATAATGTAATTTGTCATTTTGTGGTAGTGTTACCTCAAAAAGTTTATTTAATATAATAAATCAGTTCTAATAGGGATAGATCTGTACAACTAACAAAAGAACATACTTAATATAAAAAATAGATAACACCATTATAGTTAAAACATAAAGGTTCATAATACTTTGAAATCATATTTAAGAGCATGTTTTTATGAAACCACAATAAAATCAAGAATTGTTAGAATTCTCAGATGTTAAATTGACATCACCTTGGCTTGGAGGAGAGTGTTGATGGAGCTTTTACATTTCCTTTAACATTTCTTTATGTTTGACAAAATCCAGTCAGTGTAGCTAATGATAAATAACAAAGAACAAACATTTTCTGTGCAACCTGTAAAACATTTACAGCTTGAAACTGTTTTGAATTGAATATAAGTCTTAAAATTGTTTAGTTGAAGTTTAGAACTTTTCAGAAGAAAACCAAAAAACACAAAAGGGTCAAATAAGGCTTCCCTTTTCTGTAATTTTCATAAAGATTGGGATTTTTTAGACTTACATACTTGAAATAATTATTATCTACATATTATTATATTTTTCATAGTTAGTACTTTTATTAATAAACCACATTCGGCTTTTAATGATCATTATATGCTTTTAGTATTCATATCTCATTAAACTTTCCAGGATCATTTGAAACACCTTCTTACAACCAGCTGGAATACATTTGTATTGAAACCATTTTTATAACAAATAATTACAAAATTTCTAATTAGTTTACAGTCCTTAGCATACTAAAAATTTGTAGACCATCATAACATAATAATAAAATGTATTCTATGTGTTGCTTAATTTTTGAGTTAAAGTTGTGCTGTTCATATTTTTCTCAGATCCCTAATTAATTTTTTCTGGTTAAAAATTAATCTTGGTAATTGTACCACATATTATGTAAAATTATTAAAAGGATATATTTAAGCACAAAAGAAGAAAAAAAAGTATCATATACTTGCAGTTTTGACAAAATTATATACAAATTATGAAACATTTCAACAAAAACAATGTTATACACCAAGAAGTTGCAGGCTGTATGTTGTTTAATAATTTCAAGATAGTTTCCGAATGTATTGAAAGCAATTTCTTTTTAAGTTCAAATAATAGTGAAATACGGTTTTGAATGAATAGTGTGTGTCTGTCTACTTTAGTGTGTTTTACTTCTCTATTTACTCTGACAATATTGTAACTTATTAACCTTTGTATGTGTAATTTACTTATGTTAGTATAATGTTTGTGGTGAATATAGATGGGCATTAGCAGAACATTATGGTGCCTACCTTATAAACAATGCAGAACTCGTCAAAGACATGGTCCTTCAAACAAGAAATCGAATTAGTGATCAGAAGTTTTTGATTTCTATCAAAATAAGAATCCACTATGACATTAGGTAAGAATGTATATTTACTTATGCATATAACTACACTATGCAGTGTAGTACAGATCAAAATAATTGTAAGTTAAAGAAAATATACCATTTTATATATATGTAGTCATACTAAAAACAGACATTTCACACTTTGCTGCAAAAGATATAAGTGAAGTAGAGCCTTTTTGGTCATTTTTGCTCTTATTTTCATTTTATTATGAATTATTTAATGAAGCTATTTGTGAAGTGAAAGCAGGTTTCCTTTCATTGTTTTCAGAAAAACTGTAGATTTATGCCAGAAAGCACAGCAAGCTGGGGTGTCATTTATCACGATACATGGACGTACTTTAGAGCAGAGGAAAGAACCAGTAAATGTTCAAGCTATCAAAACTGTGAAAGACAGTTTAAATATTCCAGTTTTTGGTAATGGAGATGTGTTCTCACTGGAAGATGCTGATAAACTCTATGAACAGACAGGAGTTAATGGTGTGTAAAATTTGTAATGTATTTGAATTTTGAGTGTTGTATATCTTTAAGGAGTTTGTTTTAAATTTATAAAGATTGATTTTGCATCCTCAGAGTTGTTAATTTATTAAATGCACTCTTAATAATATTTAAGAAAAGTTATAACAAAATGGTAATTTTTCTTTCATGTAAGTATTAAAACAGAAATATAATCTTGTATATTTTTTCTTAACTTATTTGAGATATTTTTAACATTGATGAATTGCTACTTAAAAGATTTGCTTCATCCTTTATCATTAACAAAACATGCAGCTTAAGTCATGCAATATAATCTAGAAACCTGTTAATCTTTTGGAAAACATAAAGCTATCCTAGTCTTAAAATCTAAACTTCTAGCATTCAATTTAGGCAAGCAATTATCCTCTTTTACATAAAAATACATAAAATTTATGTTAGTGAAACTTGCCAGTCAATCCTTAATAATACTTATGTTTGCCACTTTTATCATTATAATGCTATACGATTTGCTTCTCCATTGATGTAATAAAAATATATTTCAAATATAAACAATTACAAATTGGAAGAAATTAAAAGTTTCACTTTACATCTGAAAAATAGGTAAATAGAAAATGGTATCTGAAAGATATCACAGTAACCTAAATTGCTAATTAAACTAGTACAATATACTTCACTAAAATATAATAAACCCTCTCTCCCTTTAGGAATGTCTGAATGAGAGGTTGTATAACTCACAATAGTTAGTGAAAGTTCATTTAAATGTTTCCTGATATGCTCAAAAATATTAATTATTTCATTATTGAATTTAAAATGAACAATCAATAGTTATAAAGTGTAGTTAAGATATTTTTGGAAAAGTTATGATATTCTTTAAAATATTTGATCCTATCAGTATAGAATTCAATCTTAAACCTATAGCAGGAGGTCAAAACTTTATTTGTGAAATTAAGTTTCTAAGTTCTGTCTATGAAATATTGTAATGTCTAACAAATTCTATTGTATTTAATGGCTCACGAGGATTAAACATTATAGTATAATTATTTTGAAAATTTGTATTATAAAATGGTAAATTTATAACTTTGAAATTATTTGTGTCCATTTTATTAAAACATTTTCAACTTGGATAAGTACTATGTTCAAGTACTGTGTATTTTTCAGGGTAAATTTTACTTGAAAACAAGTTTAGCAATGTTGAGAATAACTAGAGAATTTGGTAGAGATATTGTCAATATACTTGCTTGTAATCTTTCTCTTTAAATTTTGTTATGAATGAAGTTTGAGCTCAGATAAATATGTATCAGCAGTTTTTTGCTAAAGTTGTCTTATGTACTTGCGGTACCTAATTATTTTCCTCAGTAGGCCAGTTTAAATTATACCATAATATAATGTTTATGGACAACAATAGACCAATTGGTTCAAATTGACTGTCCCATCCTCTAAACTAATCTAAAACTATTAAATAAGTAAATTAAAAACAAAATAAAATAAAAAATCTTAAAGCCAGCCCTTATCATTTATATAGTTATCAAGCTTTCCCTTAAAATCACTTACACTTACTACCTCCACAACATCTGAAGGCAACCCATTCCAGAGGCCAGCCACCCTGTTAGAAAAATATAACTATCTCAGCTGAAGATGACTCCTACTTTTCCAAAGTTTATATTTGTATCCCCTAGTTCTATTATTCTCACCATTAAGTATGAATGCATCAACACTATCAATCCCCTTTACAATCTTAAACACCTCAATCAGATCCCCTGTAAGTCTTCTTTTTTTAAGAGAAAACAATTTCAGAGATCTTAATCTCTCCTCATATGACAACCCGTCCATCCCAGGCACAATTCTAGTAACTCTCTTCTGAACCTTTTCCAACAATTCAATGTTCTTTCTAAGGTAAGAGCCCAAGACTGAACACAATACTCCAAATGTAGTCTAATCACTGACCTATATAATGAAATTGTAGCCTCTTTAGACTTGTATTCCATATTTCTGTAAATACAACCTAAAAACCTATTTGCCTTACCACTAGCAACAGCACACTGCTTTGATGGCTTAAGAGACTGATCAAAGATCCCTTTCTTTCATGACAATGTTATTCCCAACTTTGCACTGTTCCCTAACAAGGAACATTCAAGAAATTTTACAAGATAATGTTATACATGAAACTGAACATCCACAAGAGCCATGGGAAGAAAGATTTGTGCCTTTTTTCCACCCCAGGAAAGGATAACGACAAGTTTTCATTGTGTAATGCTTCATGTGTTTGCAACATCAAGGGAAAATATGTGTATGTTGCAGCTAAAAAAGTATGAGCCTACTTATAGTTTTTGTTCTTCACACATTTCCTTCACATAATTTTTTCTTTTCAATAAAATATTTTATTTTGAAATATATTAATTTTTCCTTAATAATCTGACAGATGTACGTTTAAGAATAGTGTCAGTCCCAAAGAACTTTCTGAATCCAGAGTTAACATCTTTTGGGAAAAAAACTCAAAATTAGCGGCACCAGGGGCCTCACCTCACAGTTAGTATGACAAAAAGTCATCACACAGATTAAGGGCCTTATTTTTACAAAACACACAATATTTTTAAATGAAAAAGATTTAAATAGTACTTACCAAAAGGATGAATTACACTTCCTTACACAAAAATCTCCCCTGACTTTCATATCGTATTGATCTACTCATCTACTGCACAAATATTCTCTCCCTTTTGACAAAAAAATTGGAGAAGTCAGCATTGTATGTTTGTCACTATTCAGTAACACTTTTCTCATTCTTAGGCTTAGAGAGGAAACAAAAAGGTGATGCAACAATCAGGCTCTAATACATATAAACGTTTTAATATTGTTGAAATGATGAGCTCACCAATAACATCTTCGACGTTTAAGTTTAACGATAACAATGATAAAAAAAACAGTAACTAGAACAATTTTACAAACTTTTTATTTTTATTTCATTGTTATTATTTTTTAGCTTAATCAAATTTCCATTTCCCTTTCAGACCTATTGACTACAATTGTGTACAATGTACATTAATGTTCCACCAATTTTTTCCCGTTATGTACTGAAGAGTGTTTTGAGGATGGCTGTTCTCATTTTTTTATGTTCTATGACCGATTGTTGTTGAGATATGTTGCTCTGAAATGCAAGAAAGAGCTATTTTCATGTTCACTTGTTGTAAAAAAATAATTGCTGTTTGAAATAATTCAGGTCTGAAAGGGAGTGTCCAGAGTGAGTTACAGTTTCTTTTCTAACAGTATGTGGGGTGAGAATCAACTGTAGAGTTTGTCAGATGGTGTGGTAGCATTTGTCATTGAAAGCTTAGTTGGTGAAGTGGTGCACTGCACAACAATAGTTTTGCTGCTATTGAGAATCAGTGAAAACATTCACAGATACCAGACAAACGTTTTGAGTGTTACTCGAGTACTAGTCATGTCTGGTAACTTGACATCTAATCTGTGGGGGATATAGGGAGAAGAGAACTTTTGATTCAATTTCAAATTTTAAATATTTTATTCAGGCAGTGAAGTTTCGGTGGCCCACTCAGAATGTACTGTGGCCCCCCTAATTTTCCATCATTCACGCATGGCTCCTTAGAAACATGGCACAGCCCCCTGGGAGCCCATATGGCTCATGTTGAGAACCACTAAGCTAAAGGACTACTTCAGAATGAAACAATGTTAATGACAGTTATTCTGAGATAGAACTATGAGATGTTTATTTATACATGTAAGTGTAATATCAGCTAGAGGACTACTTCAGAATAAAACTGTTAATGACAGTTATTCTGAGACAGAAATATGAGATGTTTATTTATACATCTAAGTGTAATATCAGCTAGAGGACTACTTCAGAATTCAACAATGTTAATGACAGTTATTCTGAGACAGAACTATGAGATGTTTATTTTTACATGTAAGTGTAATATCAGCTAGAGGACTACTTCAGAATTCAGCAATGTTAATGACAGTTATTCTGAGATAGAACTGTGAGACGTTTTTTTATATATGTAAGTGTAATATCAGCCAGAGGACTACTTCAAAATAAAACAATGTTAATTACAAATGATATTGGACTAAACTGTGAGATGTTTGTTTATACATATATGTGTGATGTCATCTGGACTACTACCTCAGAATTCAACAGCGTTAATTATGTGTGTTAAACCGAACTGTAAGATACATATTTCCACATTTAAGTGTAATTTCAGCTACAAGACTTCTGCAGAATCCAAAAATGCTAAAGACAGGTATTCCTAGATTAAACTGTGAGATGTTCATTTATACATGTAGGTGTAATGCAGATAGAAGACTTCTTCACAATCCAACAATATTAATGACAGGTATTCCAAGACTAAACCATGAGATGTTTTAGGTGTAATGTAAGCTGGATAACCTCTGGAGGGCATCTTCAGAATTCAACAGTGTTAGTGGCAAATATTCTGAGATTAAACTCAGAGTTGGTTATTTATACATGTAGGTGTAATATCTTCTTCAAAGGACTATTTCATAATCAAGCAATGTTAGTGACAGATATTATTAGACTAAATTGTGAGATGTTTGTTTATATATGTAGTTTTGATATAATCTAGAAATGTTTTTCAGTATGAAAGAATTTTAATGAAGATATTCAGTGACTAAACTGTGAGATGTTTGTTTATTTAAGTAAGTGTAATGTCTTGTAGAAGAATTCTTTAGAATCCAAGAATGTTAATAACAGATATTCTTAGACTAAACTGTGAAATGTTTGTTTCTACATTTAGGTGTAATGTCTTGTAGAAGAATTCTTTAGAATCCAAGAATGTTAATAACAGATATTCTTAGACTAAACTGTGAAATGTTTGTTTCTACATTTAGGTGTAATGTCAGCTAGAGGACTTCTTCTGGATGTTAATGAAAGGCATTCTTAGATTAATCTGTGAGATAATTTGTTTATACGTGTAGGTGTAATGTCAGCTAGAGGACTTCTGCAGAATCCAGCATTGTTTGTTGGCTATCATTATACCCCTAGAGACTGTGTACAAGATTGGCTGGACATTTCACTGAACCTTGGGACCCATTTCACCAGCTTCCATCACCATCTGATGTACATGCTGGAGAAAGTCATGCCTCGTCCTGAACGCAGAGTTTTCAATACACTAAGCAGCACAGCTGCTGTTTTGGATTACCTTCGAGTGAATTATGATCTTTGTTGACAATTAGAAAATGTTGTGTAACTTCTTATTACTCTTTTTTAGATGTATGTACGATTATGGTAGTGTAGCTCCTTAGTGGCTCGGTGGTAAGTCTGAAGGCTTATACTGCTAAAAGTTGGGTTTCAATATATAGCCCATTTTGTAGCTTTGTGTTTATTAACAAAAACATATTTTTGTATTTAATCTGTGAGGATTTTGAAGTTTTTATGAAATTTTCATTGGATATACAGTATTTTAGTAATTTTTTCCATACTTACACTGGTTAAATTCAGATATTTGTTTTTATTTGTGAACAGAGCTGATTGCATTAACACTACAAAGATTCTAAAAATATTACAAGTGCTGTAATCACTTTTATCACAAAGGTAATATGATAAATAGTGTTTTAAAATAATTTTAATTACTAAAGTATGATTTTTTTAATTTATAAATTTATGTACTTGTTTTATGTTTTAGAGATAATGTTATTTATCATCATAATTCGTGAAAATAACCATGCTGGTTAAATCTGAATAAAAATTAAACTGGTAAAGATACTATTTTTTAGCCACTTGACAGTAACTTATCCCTAAATGTTCTTTGAAATGTTAAGGCAGTGAAACACTACTAATAGCTAAGTTGTTAGAAAATTCTTTGTAGATGGAAGTGTTTATTTTTTGTGTTTTATTTCAACCTCAATGTTATATTTTAAAAAATCAGCTTTTTTGGGTTTGTAATAATTGAATTTTTATATTCCATTTTTCTCAGTGTTCTTTCATGATGGGACTTAGATAACTTACTGAAATGTACTTAAAAGTTTCTGAACAGTGCAAGATTATTAAAACATATTTTCTCAGTAATCTGTGATGACAGGCATTTAATTGTTTAAAGTAAATAAACAGAACTGGAATTTTTATCTAAAAAGAAGAAACATGAAATAATATATTCCATTTAAAATTGCCAGATGCATTCTAACTGTGTTCTGCATGTGAGTGGTTATTCAACATATTGTGAAAGTATATCTGTAGAAATCATAAAAAGTACTCAACAAAGTAATTTACATGTGTATATAAATCATCAAAAGACTTTTACTTAACACATTTATGAAAGTTTGTGAGGGTATATAAGTAATCAAAAGTGGTTACTCAAAATACTTATGTAAGTGTGTGTGTGTATAAATCATCAAAAGTTAACATTTTTCAACACTCCACCTCCTAGCACAGTTGACTCCTTCTATACTGATTGTTCAATCATCACTTTAATATTAGGCAAGAAAAGATGCACCAAAAGTGGAGAAGAGGTAAGTAGTTATCAGAAATACATTTTCTGTGTTCAAAAATTTTAACTTGTAATATGATATATAACCTTTTCTCATCTGTAACTGAAATTCCACATTGAAGTGGTGGAAAGACTGGTGCAAAGGTTTACTATGAGCCTCTTTTGGGAAATTCCTGAAGGGGACCCATGGAGTGCAACATTCTATACCTTAGAACAGTATAGGAGCACACCCATGGGAGACTGCATCTCATTATACTAGGGTATACTCTTCAACTGGAAAGGAGGGGAAGGGAAATATCACAAGAATGGGAAGAATATGCAAGCATAGAACCTGCATCAGGCTTATGGAAATGCTATATGTATAGTATACATGGTGGATCAACTTCAGTCCAATACCAGGTGGCACCAGGGATGAATTGTACTACATGTTCAGAAGATTACCACTATATTCTCTATTGAGTAGAATTGGTCAGTCTGAGAATGCAGCCTCCATGGTCCACCACCCCAGCAGCTAGGAACTGGTAATAACATTTGCCAAAGGTTATTTCAATTTGACACAAGACCTAAATTCACAAACAACATTTCAATAGAAACTGCAATACCAATGGCACCTATGCTTAACTCACAAATAAACTTACTTGCAAAATAACATTGCTAATAGATATGATAACGTTCACTCTTAGATTTGAACTAAATCATTAATTGAACAAGCAGTAACTCATGACTCATTAACTGCTCATTAATTACACATTGATTCACTGCTTCACTTTACTCATATTTATACCATACTTCTACTCACTACACAAAATTTGCAAGATCATGCACCCTCTAGCAAACATCTAAATTAAATCATTGAAAACATAGCTTAAATACTATCCCCTTCCTGGATTTAGAAGTTCCTTGAACATTCCCAATACACAAGTAAAACTGTACTGAACTGTTCATTCACCAAGTCTTTTTGGTGGTTTTCTTCTCTGAGGGTTATAGTATGGTCCTATCACTTGAGGAGTTCTCTCTGAGTAGGTGGTTGAGAAAACCACTGGTGGCATCATCCTTGATGAATCTTTGAAAGTGGACTTAACAGGAACTCCTGGGCTTTTCAGTAGGCTGACTTTCTTCTGGAAGATTCTTCTCTGAAATTACCTATTTAGCCATTTTTTCACTGATATACTTCGAAAGATAATCATGTTGAATGAAATTTGGCTTGGACCACCTGTATTTCTAGATTACGTAAACTACATCATTATATCTTCTCAGTAAAATGCATAGTTTTTCCAACACCTACTTTGTAGTATATCCATTTTTGGTGATGAAAATTGTTCAGTTATACCATATCACTTCAAAATCCAGACTTACAAACATCATCATAGCAAACATTCAATTTCGATGACGAGACTAATAATGGTTGGAGACGGCTTGAATGGGTAATGAAGAAAAACTTTAATATAAGTTTAACATAACAGCAAATTTACAACGTTTCAACAAGGTTTTTGTCATCATCATGAAGTTTTTGTTTAGATATGCCAATTTATTATCATTTGTCAAAAATAATGCCAAGTACAGTCCATGTAACAATAATGAATTAATTTATTTCTTCAATAACCTTTACTACAGGCCACTTTCAAAGTCACATTTAGGTTTTTGCCACTAGTAAGCACCAAATTTCAGTGCCATCCTTTCTTTTTTCAACTGTGGCTTATTCTGTAGGCCCATTAAACCAAATTAGTTCCTGTTATCAAGAGTAACAGCATAATTATTAATTAAGAAATAGTATAAAATTTGTAATTAAGACCTTACTTAAGTTTCTGAAGCTGAATTTTATAGGTGCTTCTCCTAGCTTTCTGAGTAGCAATTGTTTTGACAGGTCTACCACTAGCAACAGCACACTGCTCAGATGGCTTTAGAGACTGATCGACTATTACACCAAGTTCCCCTTCCTTCATAACACTGTTAAGCTTATTCCCATCCAAATTATACTTATAATTCAAATTAGGATAACTCAGTGCGTTATCTTGCATTTATTATAATTAAAACCCATCTGTCATTTATTTGCCCGAGTCACTAAGTGATCTAAATTCTTTTGTAAATCAGCAGCATCCTCTTCACAGCTAGCAGTACCAAAGACCTTAATATCATCTGCAAATTTAAGTAATTTATTTACCATCCCTTCATCTATGTCACTGATGTAAATCAAAAACACATTGTGACATTAATCCAGTGTGATTGAACTCCATTTGTAACAACCCTCTACTTTCTTCCATCCAGTCACTCTTCTATCCAATTTGCTAGCTTCTCTCCCACACCTATAGAGATAACTTGTTTTACAAGTCTTTTATGTGGCACCTTGTGAAATGCTTTCTGAAAATCCAGATACACCAAATCTACACCCTTGCTCTCATCTACATAAGCAGTAACTTTTTCAAAGAATGTCAAAAGATTTGTAAGGCAAGATTTTCCCTTAGTGAAACTAGTGTTAACTATCCAATAAAATTCTAAACTTTTTAAAATGACTTTGCAAAGCATCTTTTAACAGACGTTCCAAAACGTTTCCCACAACCAATGTAAGACTAATGGGTCTACAATTCTGGGACAATTTTTATCACTTCCCTTGAAAAGAGGAGCTACATTAGCAAACTTCCAATCCTTTGATACCTGCCAACTATTCAACGACTGACAAAAAATAGTAGTAAGTGGCTCACATATCTAATCTTTAACCTCCTTCAAAACCCTTGGGGAAATATTATTTGGCCCAAGAGCCTTATCGTTTTTTAAACTTCCCTGTCAAGCATTTCCTAAATTCAAAAATTGTACAAATAACAATATCAAGATATTTTATGAATTTTGTAATTTCTGAATATTACAAATCTTGATTAAATTATTCTATAGTTGTACTTATTATATCTGAAAATAGTTTCATAAGTTTTTGGTGACTGAAGCAATTGGATATTTTTGAGGGAATTTTACAATTGCTTCAGTATTTTTAAATGTTTAAGAGTTGAGAAAGATGTCATAGAGATTTAAGTATTCTGAGTGTGATACACATACATGTTGAAATGGCGTAAGTAAGGACGCCTGTATTACAAAATTAGGTCAATAACTAGGCAAAGCACAGTTAACGGGTTAGTTAGTATTGAGAATCACGAGTTAAGAGTTATAAAAATGAAGCTACAGCGAAATCGCTGAGAAAAACGCTAGTCACGAGTTTGACAGTGATAAGTTACTGACGCCAAGTTAGTAGCACTGTAGAAGCTACTAAAAGTTTATGATAGCATCTGAAATCGGTGCTTTGATGTGAGATCTGTTACTCCAGACCAGTGTAGTAGTACAAGTGAAAAGGCAACTGGAGCACTTACCATCACAGTAACCAATTACTTGAAAGTTTTGGTTCTTGTTTTATATTAGCCCGGGAAGTTGACCAATAAAGTGTTAGTAATACTATTTGGAAGGTCAAAAGAATACAAAGAAAATATGGTTTAAAAACTCGTGTCTGGAGCTAAAAATCAGTTATCTTCAAGAAGAGAGTCATCTCCAGGAGGAATCGAAGTTTCAAGCCACTATGAACATGAAGGTTTCCAATCTCCAGAAGTATACCGGTCCAACTCTGTTGTAAATATAGAATTGCTATCTTTCTTGTCCAATTAATGTAGTTTACTAAAGAAAGTTGATGCTTATACTAGAGAGAAATATTGTATATGTATTGCTTAATAGTGTTAACTGAAAAGTGAAGTTGTGAGAAACTAACGGTTTAGTAAATGTTTAACTATTGAAAAGACCTATTATGTGGAAAGACCTAATAAATGTTGTTATGTTTTGTTTAATGTTAGTCTTGGAATCCGTTTCTTTATTCTAACTGGAAATTATCTCGAGTTAGCTCCACTCGCCACTGCAATCCTGAACTAAATAAATTTAGTGTAATCGGCAGTATAATTGAAACTCCAACAATTAGACCTAAGGGTGCTGTCCATTACGTGGCATAATACAGTGTTGTTGAATAAAGTTGTTTGTTGTTTTGACCTACACTTGTATGTACTTCTTTTGCTTTACTGTCCCTGTTAATTTTATTCTTTGTATAACTTTCCTTAACCTGCATTTTGCAAGAACTTTGACTTTTTCTTGGACATCAGTGTACTTGAATAGCAGTCTGTTTCACCATGACTTTATTTCAGTTGTGTTTATTACGTGAATTGCATATTAAAAATGAGGTTAATATAATGTACTAAACCCTCTGTGTTTGTTTGAAAGGTAAAAAGAAAATCTTATATGATTAAACATGGTGGCTAGGTGTGACTGGTTCTTTAGGCTTTCTCTGATCTTGGTCTAATTATGGGTATCTTAAAGATTAATATGCTGTAGAAGCTGTGAACTGACAAGATTTGTAGTAAAGGTGAGTTGCAGCTCTGCAATCAAACTGTTCAATGCTAAACAGCTATAATCCAAGAATAGTGAACTGTACAACTGCAAATACAGGAGAAAATTACAATGCTCTAAATTTGCAAGTAAATGTTTCCTGGTATTGAGTTTATTGCTAAAAATAATGTTAAATCGACGGTATCCAACTAATAGATCAATAAATTTTGATCAT